TTTTTTCAAGGACTTCAACAGGCGTGGATTTTTTAAATATTTTTTCAAGGACTTCAACAGGCGTGGATTTTCAAAATAATTTTTTTTTCAAGGTCTTCAACAGGCGTGGATTTTTAAAATAATTTTTTTTCAAGGTCTTCAACAGGCGTGGATTTTTAAAATAATTTTTTTCAAGGACTTCAACAGGCGTGGATTTTAAAAATAATTTTTTTTCAAGGACTTCAACAGGTGTGGATTTTTAAATATTTTTTTCAAGGACTTCAACAGTCGTGGATTTTTTAAATATTTTTTTCAAGGACTTCAACAGTCGTGGATTTTTTTCAAGGACTTCAACAGGCGTGGATTTTTTCAAGGACTTCAACAGGCGTGGATTTTTTCAAGGACTTCAACAGGCGTGCTTTTTTTTCAAGGACTTCAACAGGCGTGGATTTTTTTCAAGGACTTCAACAGGCGTGGATTTTTTTCAATGACTTAAACAGGCGTGGATTTTTTTCAAGGACTTAAACAGGCGTGGATTTTTTTCAAGGACTTCAACAGACGTGGATTTTTTTCAAGGACTTCAACAGGCGTGGATTTTTTCAAGGACTTCAACAGGCGTGGATTTTTTTCAATGACTTAAACAGGCGTGGATTTTTTTCAAGGACTTAAACAGGCGTGGATTTTTTCAAGGACTTCAACAGGCGTGGATTTTTTCAAGGACTTCAACAGGCGTGCTTTTTTCAAGGACTTCAACAGGCGTGGATTTTTTAGGACTTAAACAGGCGTGCATTTTTTTCAAGGACTTCAACAGGCGTGGATTTTTTTCAAGGACTTCAACAGGCGTGGATTTTTTTCAATGACTTAAACAGGCGTGGATTTTTTTCAAGGACTTAAACAGGCGTGGATTTTTTTCAAGGACTTCAACAGGCGTGGATTTTTTTCAATGACTTAAACAGGCGTGGATTTTTTTCAAGGACTTAAACAGGCGTGGATTTTTTCAAGGACTTCAACAGACCTGGATTTTTTTCAAGGACTTCAACAGGCGTGGATTTTTTCAAGGACTTCAACAGGCGTGGATTTTTTCAAGGACTTCAACAGGCGTGGATTTTTTTCAAGGACTTCAACAGGCGTGGATTTTTTTCAAGGACTTCAACAGGCGTGGATTGACTTCAATGACTTAAACAGGCGTGGATTTTTTTCAAGGACTTAAACAGGCGTGGATTTTTTTCAAGGACTTAAACAGGCGTGGATTTTTTTCAAGGACTTAAACAGGCGTGCATTGTTTTCAAGGACTTCAACAGGCGTGGATTTTTTTCAAGGACTTCAACAGGCGTGGATTTTTTTCAAGGACTTCAACAGGCGTGCATTTTTTCAAGGACTTAAACAGGCGTGCATTTTTTTCAAGGACTTAAACAGGCGTGCATTTTTTTCAAGGACTTCAACAGGCGTGGATTTTTTTCAATCTGAATATTTGATTCAAAATGTTTTAAGTTCTTTCTTTCTCGATTGTCCTTGAAAAAGAATTGTTTAAAAAATCTACGCCTAGTGTTGATGGCCCTTAAAAATAGTCTTTAATAAATCCACGCCTTAAAGATGATTATCCTTCAGATAAATTTTTTAATAATCCACCCTTGGAGCATCCTTGGAAGGGTTTCCTAAAAAAATGTTCGCTTGTTGCTCAGAATATCCTTCAAATAATTTCCATATAAACCTACGACTTTTGTTACAGACTGACAATGTAAAAAATTGTATTTTTAAATTAAAAATCCAGACATGTACATCTGCTAGTTCTTAAAAACAGATTTCGAAAACACTGTCAATTTCACCAAAATTGTATAGCCAAAGAAATTCAATAAAATATCCCAAGCCTACGAAAAAGAAAAACTATTTTTTTTTTGGCAAGAAAAATGGAATAACAAAATAGGAATAACAAAATAGTAAAACCAAAAAACCTCTGCATGTTTTGAACCACAAAAATATAAAAATATTTTGATGAACATATTTTTTATGGTAATCATGGAGAGAATATTTTTTGTTTGTTACCCCTCCATTGGAAACCTAACTACCATCGATGGAACGGTGTTATGGTTCTCATTGTGTTCAATATTTCATTTAATTTATACATGAAATGGCAGGTTGGTAGTCACAAGTGAACCCAATATTCAGCCAGTCACTCAGTGAGGCATTCCTGCACTTAGCACAGTAAGTCATTCGAAAATGGTTTTCATTCAAAATGTCCATTTATCGATGACTATGACGAACTGTAACGAAGACAGTAAGTCAAAAAGCCAAAGGCCGAAGAAAAAACAACATCATGGAGTTACAGTGCCAAAAAAACCAAACCAAAAATTCTGCAAAAAGGGGTCTGATGATGAGGACAGCAAACATCGACTGCGACGTCGAACTGGTAGTAATTGTAGGCCGTGTTTGTTTTTTCTTTCTGATTTTCTTGAAATATTTTGTTGCTTCTTAATGTTTTGTTTGTATAACAAGCTATGAAATAACAACAACAACAACAACAAAAACCAACAACGACATGCAATAACCTATCAATATGGTAATAGAAAAGTAATAAATTGAATACTAAAGATAAATTTAAATTGTGGTAAAACATGATGTTGCCTGACTGACTGAATCAATGAATTGGTGAGATGGTGGCGCTGGCGGTAGTGGTGGAGCTTTGGTGGTTACCAAAAGTCGTTCAGTTACCTTCTTATGGAGCTCGTTTTTTTTTTTTTTTTTTTTTGATTGTGTGGAGCAACCTGCAAAAAACCTGGCGTTCCACTCATAAAAATCAGGCAACATAAAAATATTTCATTGCTTGCAACGCGAACAGGAGGAGCATGGCGGGGGCTCCCCTTCAAAAGGTAAATATTAAGATTTATGTTAAATTTAATTAGAGTCATTATTATTTATTGACAATCAAAACTATTAAACATAATGGAAATGATCTACCGAAATTGCCGGTTAACATGAATTACAACAGCCACCGCACGGTGCACCACTGACACCGGCACAAGTGGGAACTGTTGTTGAAAAAGCGAAATTCCTGCTGTGCGAACTGTGCGCGAGAGAAATGAAGACATAAATTCCAATATTTGTTGAAGTTGTTTTTTGTTTTCTTTTTGAATGAGAAATGTCAGATTTTTTTGTGGTCTAAGGAAATCATGAAATGTGAAATCATGTCAAGTGAAAAGAAATATCAGGGAGATCTTCGCAATAAATATGGTAAATTGAATATTGCTTGGGAAAATAAAAAAAATAATAATTAAAACCAGTGAGCGGAGCAGTATAGTCGGACGGGGCCGACCATACGATACCCTACACAACTACCACGGAACTCAAATTTTCTGCGGATGTTTATTCTGAGACTGGGCAATATTTCGTGATATATGCACCCTCTTGCACGATTAGAGGTAAACAGGTCCTCTTCCTCACACTGACATATTTTCCGAATATTACGAGTATTCAGTACAGCTATTGTCCAGATTCCCTTCACCGTGGGTTGTGTTGAGATGTTCGGCTTTCATTTGTGGTCTATAGATCGACTCGATAATAACACAAACAATTAAGTTTTCGGTCTTCTTCATTCCAAAATTATTATCTGATCATCACCGAAAATTGTAGGCGTTGTCTTTGACCATAACTGGAACCTCGTGGAATATTTCAAAGCGATCAGCGCTATAGTTCCGCTCTCTAGAGTCATAATAGGTTTCTAAATAATATACGAATACGGAGATGACTGTAAATATTTAGGTGTAACTCCCACATCCGACCACATACAACAATATAATTGGTATTAATTTAAAGGTCAACCACTCCTCTTGGATATAATATAAACTTCTAGGGTCTATGTCCTTAAGGGGTAAATATATACGCTATAGAATACAAATTTTGTCATTTTTCACACAAAAGTCAGGGTCCATTTGACCCGCTAAATATTGACCGATCTTTATGAAAACAGGCACGCTCATTCTTTGGCCTGATCCCCTTCTCCATGGAAAATTTCACGATGTTTGGGCCATTATTGCGGCCTCTGGAGCAACCAGAAAAACCGGCAAAAATTTAGTATTTGGTCCATTTCATCCCCTAAATATTAAACGATCTTTCCCAAAAACAATAGGGGTCTTCATTGGCCAGAACCCATCCTACATGCAAAATTTCGTGAAGATAGGTCCATAACTGTGGCCTGTATCGTGTTTACAAATTATAATAGACATACGGACGGACGGACACGCATGTCTAGATCGGCTCAGCTAGTCGAGATATGATGATCGGTATACTTAAAGGTGGGTCTAGGACCAATATTTCGAGGCGTTACAAACTTGTGGGGCTGCACAAAGCTATAATACCCTGACAACATAGTTGTGTAGGGTATAAAAATCACGTATATGATAGTCTTTGAAAAAAAATATTTTAAAAATCCACGCCTAAGGTAGTCTTTGAAAAAAAATATTTTAAAAATCCACGCCTAAGGTAGTCTTTGAAAAAAATTATTTTAAAAATCCACGCCTAAGGTAGTCTTTGAAAAAAATTATTTTAAAAATCCACGCCTAAGGTAGTCTTTGAAAAAAATTATTTTAAAAATTCACGACTTTGTTTTTGTCGTTGAAAAAAAAAATATTTTAAAAATCCACGCCTAAGGTAGTCTTTGAAAAAAATTATTTTAAAAATCCACGCCTAAGGTAGTCTTCGAAAAAAATTATTTTAAAAATCCACGCCTAAGGTAGTCTTTGAAAAAAATTATTTTAAAAATCCACGCCTAAGGTAGTCTTTGAAAAAAAATATTTAAAATAAAATACAAAATTCTATCATTGTTTTTGTAGTCAAATTTATGTCTTCAAATATTTTTTGTTTTTAATTTTGAAACATTAAAACTCGTATCAATTAAAATTATTTTTCTACCAAAATTCCAATTAGAGTCCCGATTCTGCTTTAAAAATTCAAATCTACCGCAAATTGTAGCCTCCCTAAATTATATTAAAATTTAAACCAAGTTACTATAATAATACCAAATTACAATGGCCAAAGGTACGGTGAAGGTCATAGTGAATACTAGAAAACTCCCAAATAGAGAAGATGAGGAAGAAGTCCAACAATGTATGCAACAACATCATCAAATCTACAATTTAGTTGAACATTTACGACAATGGATAGAGAAAAATAGTCAACCGAAGCGGTATAACTTCCCCAGACCATGTATCAGACGTGAACCCAGTCGCTGGGCTAAACGTGGTCCAATGGCGCGGAAAGATTGGGTAAGATTTTATAATTGGGCAGCGAAGAATGCCACACCCAAACCACCCTATCAACCAAAAATCCGCAGTAAAGATAAGGAAAAAGAGAAAAAGTCGGAACCGAAAGATCCCATACCATTTGAAGAGCTTATGGAACATGCCGAAAAATTGGCAACACCACGTATTCGCCGCCACAAATATGAATATCCCGCCGAAACGAAGTATCCATATGCACCACAAATTCATCCAAAGAAACCGCCGAAAAAAGATCGTGGTCGTCCATTTAAAACACCGGAAGTTCCACCGGATTTTCAGCATATCGAATTGGAAATTGATTTTTGGTCTCAATTGCGATTTCCCACAAGGTCGTCGACAGCTCTCTACAATCCTACGGAAAATATTTTGAAATTGGCTCAACCAAAAATTATACCACCTATAAAGCAGCATTGCCCCATCCCGGAAAAGCCTGTAGAATATGTGGCTCCAAGACGCCGCATGTCATATCGCCAGTGGCGTGAACATAAACGCCGGCTGGAGTATTTGGCTAAACCTATTTATCGTCCTGTTATTGATTATTATTATTCTTAGTCATCTCTACACCTAAAGTTATATTTATGTGCGTGAATTTTTTAAATACATTTTCCAGCAACGTAATTAATTTTTTAACCATGAGGCGTGAATATTTTTTAAATCATTTTTATTAAGGACTTTAAGAGCCTTAGGTGTGGATTTTTTAAATAAATTTTATCAAGGACGTTCAGAGCCTTAGGCGTGGCTTTTTAAAATAAATTTTATCAATGACTTTAAGAGCCTTAGGCGTGGATTTTTTAAATAATTTTTATCAAGAACCTTAATAGCCTTAGGCGTGGATTTTTTAAATAATTTTTATCAAGAACCTTAAGAGCCTTAGGCGTGGATTTTTTAAATACATTTTATCAAGGACTTTAAGAGCCTTAGGCGTGGATTTTTTTTAAATACATTTTATCAAGGACTTTAAGAGCCTTAGGCGTGGTTTTTTTTTAAATACATTTTATCAAGGACTTTAAGAGCCTTAGGCGTGGATTTTTTTTAAATACATTTTATCAAGGACTTTAAGAGCCTTAGGCGTGGATTTTTTTTAAATACATTTTATCAAGGACTTTAAGAGCCTTAGGTGGGGATTTTTAATTTTTTTCGGTTTATGTTCGGTTTTTTCTCATTCCACATAAAATATGTCAAACATTTGTCACGACAAAACAAAATCACTTACATCTGCTTCTAATTCTTCCCGAAATAAAAAATGTTTCTTTTTTTAAATAGAATCCTTGTGTTAATATCAATCTGGCGTTAAATATAATTTAGTATTTATTTTGATATTTCCGCTTGGATATTCTGCTGCTACAGTTTTTACTTAGTGGTTGTGTGTGTTAATCTCATCTTGTTTGTGGTTGATTTGTGTGGCATTTTAGAACGCCTTTGAGTGCGTGTGTTTGTGGAGGCTCGCTTAAGTGGAAGTGTTATTTGAGACGGCCGATAATGTGTCAATTTCACACGTGTTATACTTTGGGGAATTTTTTTACGAAGGCTCTGAAGGATGTGGATTTTTTTGGGGTAATTGAATTCATGGCATAAAAAATAAATGTGTAAGGAAAGTTGAAAAAGGGATATGCAGCAGGCGGACACATTTTTTGGAGCTCAGTTGTTTTTTAAAGGAAACATTAAAAAGTGTGTACAATAATGTGGCATATTTCAGGCGATACTTAAGTGTGACATTTTTGGTGGGGCATATGCCTAATTTTGAATCGATTTTATTTGAAAAATTATGCTGTTTGTGTTTTAGAAAAAGGAAATTATATGTCAGTTTATTAGGCGCTTGAACATGAAAGATTTGAAAATGATTTAAAAAAATCCCTTAAAAAATTATTTAATAAATCCACGCCTAAGTTGGCCATTGAAAAATATTATTTAATATATCCACGCCTAAGGTAGTCTCTGAAAAAATTATTTAATAAATCCACGCCTAAGGTAGTCTCTGAAAAAAATTATTTAATAAATCCACGCCTAAGGTAGTCTCTGAAAAAAATTATTTAATAAATCCACGCCTAAGGTAGTCTCTGAAAAAAATTATTTAATAAATCCACGCCTAAGGTAGTCTCTGAAAAAAATTATTTAATAAATCCACGCCTAAGGTAGTCTGTGAAAAAAATTATTTAATAAATCCACGCCTAAGGTAGTCTCTGAAAAAAATTATTTAATAAATCCACGCCTAAGGTAGTCTGTAAAAAAAATTATTTAATAAATCCACGCCTAAGGTAGTCTCTGAAAAAAATTATTTAATAAATCCACGCCTAAGGTAGTCTCTGAACAAATTATTTAATAAATCCACGCCTAAGTCTCTGAAAAAAAGTAAGGAAGTCTCTGAAAAAAATTATTTAATAAATCCACGCCTAAGGTAGTCTCTGAAAAAAATTATTTAATAAATCCACGCCTAAGGTAGTCTCTGAAAAAAATTATTTAATAAATCCACGCCTAAGGTAGTCTCTGAAAAAAATTATTTAATAAATCCAAGCTTAAGGTAGTCTCTGAAAAAAATTATTTAATAAATCCACGCCTAAGGTAGTCTCTGAAAAAAATTATTTAATAAATCCACGCCTAAGGAAGTCTCTGAAAAAAATTATTTAATAAATCCACGCCTAAGGTAGTCTCTGAACAAATTATTTAATAAATCCACGCCTAAGTCTCTGAAAAAAAGTAAGGAAGTCTCTGAAAAAAATTATTTAATAAATCCACGCCTAAGGTAGTCTCTGAACAAATTATTTAATAAATCCACGCCTAAGTCTCTGAAAAAAGTAAGAAATTCTCTGAAAAAAATTATTTAATAAATCCACGCCTAAGGTAGTCTCTGAACAAATTATTTAATAAATCCACGCCTAAGTCTCTGAAAAAAAGTAAGGAAGTCTCTGAAAAAAATTATTTAATAAATCCACGCCTAAGGTAGTCTCTGAAAAAAATTATTTAATAAATCCACGCATAAGTATCTGAAAAAAAGTAAGGAAGTCTCTGAAAAAAAATTATTTAATAAATCCACGCCTAAGGTAGTCTCTGAAAAAAATTATTTAATAAATCCACGCCTAAGGTAGTCTCTGAAAAAAATTATTTAATAAATCCACGCCTAAGGTAGTCTCTGAAAAAAATTATTTAATAAATCCACGCCTAAGGTAGTCTCTGAAAAAAATTATTTAATAAATCCACGCCTAAGGTAGTCTCTGAAAAAAATTATTTAATAAATCCACGCCTAAGGTAGTCTCTGAAAAAAATTATTTAATAAATCCACGCCTAAGGTAGTCTCTGAAAAAAATTATTTAATAATTCCACGCCTAAGGTAGTCTCTGAAAAAAATTATTTAATAAATCCACGCCTAAGGTAGTCTCTGAAAAAAATTATTTAATAAATTCACGCCTAAGGTAGTCTCTGAAAAAAATTATTTAATAAATCCACGCCTAAGGTAGTCTCTGAAAAAAATTATTTAATAAATCTAGACCTTATATATTTCTCTGAAAAAATTATTTAATAAATCCACGCCTAAGGTAGTCTCTGAAAAAAATTATTTAATAAATCCACGCCTAAGGTAGTCTCTGAAAAAAAATATTTAATAAATCCACGCCTAAGGAAGTCTCGCCCTAAAGTGGACCTTACCATGTTATGGAAATGATATCAGTTTAATTTTTTAAATTAATTTATTAACGAAAACAGAAACAATTCAAAATTAAATAACAAAAAGAAAGATACGTCACTTCAATACAAAAAGTAATTAAACATAAAATAATACAAATTGGTTATATTTTATTAAGTCCCAGACTTCAGTTCAGTGTTCTTGATTCTTGAAAGAAAATATTCCCGTTGCCAATCTAACGAACAAAAAATGCTGATCATGTATATTCATTTTCATAGATTCTTGAACCAATTCTTTGAGTATCTTGATAATAATAATTGACGTTTCGATTTCCCAACAAAAACTATAAAAAAATAAATATTAAGAAAAACAAAAATATTAAAAAAAAAATAACTCAACGGTTAAATAATGTCAACACTACATATTCGAACTACAAATCATTAAATTACAGATCAGATTACTAATTGCAAATTCTACAGAATAAAAATATTTCAATTTATTTTAAATTTAACATTTGTTTGCTTGTTAACCTTTGACAAGCCTTCGCATACTCTATTCACATACTGCTCGAAATTTTCACAGTATTAATTACAAAACATCTTATAAATATAATTTTTTTGTCTATAATAAACTGCCAAATTTAACGGCCGCATAAAAAGTTATTTGCTACTTGTTAACAAATAGTTTTGCTAATAATTAACAAAGTTTTGAGACAACTCCCAAAAGTAAAAAAAACAACGCACACACATACAGATACAATATAACACAGAATCTTGCTGTGTTACCCTGTAGGAAATTTTTTCAACACAATATTTTTTTATGAAAACTTAATCAAAATTTATTTTTCAAAACTTCGGTAGACAACAGATGCTCACACGTGCTTCCTGAGACAATATGGGACCCCAATATATTTATAAAGCTCCAAGCATTTTAAAACAATAGGGAGCTTCACAAAAATGCCAGAATAAGATAGAGTTTTGAGTCGAGTATTTATAGTCCCCAAACAACGGCGTTCTCTAAAATTTTCAATATTGGTCTACCAATATTGTGTTTACCATATATTTTTTTGGATATCAACATTTTATTTTTAAAAAATGCTAATATGGACCGATGATCAGGTCTAGTCCGCCAATAATAGTCCCAAATAACTTTCGTTAATTTTAGACATGGTTTAAAACTATTTGGCTCTAATTTGATATTTTGAGTTAGGACTGGTGGCAATTGGAAATATCAATCGCTCTTTTGTTATAGCCCCCAAACAGGGGCATTTTGATGAGGTTTGTGAATTTGTTTCTATATAAAAACCAGTAAGGAAAGTAGAAAAGTCGGACTGGGCCGACTATATGATACCCTTCACCACTTTGCGTATATTCTACATATGTATCCTAAGAGACGTCGCCTTTTCGAAGGAACATTGACATGAAATTGAACGAACTTAAATACGTGATCTAATATCAATCCCTACACATGTCATTCTGCAACCTATGCTAAATTTTGTAAATCGATTTAAAGCAAACTTGCACACGCTATTCAAACACGCATTGATTATTTGGTGTACAATAAACATAAATAAATCGAAATTATATATGGAAGCTATCTTATACCTATATTTGAAGGAAACTTGCCAGATATTAATTTATATTACCTTCAGTACGCTGTGTCATTCGGCTTAGCTAGGGGTCTTTAGTGCACCATTTACTTAAAATCGGACAAAAAAATATATAGGAGGTGTTTGTTAATCTGATCCGATTTTCACGAAACTTTGCACACATCATTCTACACGTAATTCAGTACGCTATACCAAAATCGAAAGATATAGGGGGCTTTGGCGCACTATTTACCTAAGCTTCGGTGAAACTATATAAGGGAGCTATATCTAAATATGAGCCGATTTAAACGAAACTTAGCACACGTCATTCTAGACTTAATTTAGTAC